CCTCACCCAGGTTCCCCATGGGTGCTGCTGTGTTGCTGCATCTTCCCGGCTCTGGAGGTCCGAATGCGGGGGGTGAGGGATGATCCGGCTGGGCCAGCCTGGCTGTGCCGGCCCTCAACTGGCACCAGCAGAGGATTTTGTGTGCGTCTCTGGAGGCAGTGTGGGTCTCGCCCCTGGCCAGGGACGCGTGACAGTGATGGGCATGGCCGTGGGGAAGGCAGAGGTGATGGTGGGGAGATGGCTTATGACAACGTGGGGCAAATCCCCCAGAGCCAGCACAACATCTCACCACAATGTCACGCCGGCAATGTCTGCTGGAAGACGAGTCCTGGCAAGAGGAGCACGGTGAATCCGGCAGCCGAGCTGTGCCGAGCTGTGCCGCTGTGCCCAGCCCCTGCCTGCCAAAGCTGCTGGAGCTGTGTGACCTGGAGCTGGCCAAGCAGTGATGTACGGCACGGCTGGCTGGAGTGAAGAGGTGACTGGAGGGAGATGTTTGCCCAGAAGCAATCCTGCGGGATGGAATGCCCTGCTTCAGCCTGGCGGCTCAGCCAAGTCTCCAAGTGGTGGAGGGCACGGAGAAGCAACCAGAAACTTTGGAGGAGTAGCTCACAGGGGCTTCAGCTTCTCAGGAAACCTGCAGACCCCTGGCCTGGTCCATCTGCATCCATCCTCGCTGCTGGGCTCCATTGTGGAGGAGGCTGCCTTTCCTGGTGGGCTTTGGAAGGTGTCACAGGGATGGAGGGGTGAAAGTCTAACCAGCTCCTCCATTTGCTTCCTTCTCCAGGATTACATCTTCTACCTGGAGCCGGACAAGCTGGAGTCGGGCAAGGGGAAGTGTTCCTACGACCCCAAAGTAGACACCGTCTCTGCGTTAATAAGTGAGTCCTGTAGCTCCCTGGGACCGGCGCTACCTGTGTTGGGCAGAGGGAACATGCAGGCGAGATGGGACAACTGCTCCCACCATCTTCCTGCATTGCCTAAATATCCCCTGGGAGCTGGGTTCCTGCCGCTGTCACCCCCTGCCCAACCTCCCGAGCTCTCTGGGATGGCCACAGTCAGTGGCTCTTGGTTGCCTGGTGGCTACCAGCCAGGGCTGGGGCTGGATGGAGCCTGGGGCAGTGGGAGAAGGTGGGTGGATGAGACTAGATGGGAGTCCCTGGCTAATCTCTGCTTTCTGCAGATGAAGAACTCTACGCTGGCGTCTACATCGACTTCATGGGCACGGACGCAGCCATCTTCCGCACCATGGGCAAACAGACAGCCATGAGGACAGACCAGTACAATTCACGCTGGCTCAATGGTGAGTTTGGGTGTCATTGGCCCAGGTTCCCTGGGCAGCCCGCGGCTCCAGCCCTAGAGATGAGACCCGTCATGTTGTACTGCATCCTTCTTCCAGGAGAGAGACAGTAGCCAGCATGGGCAGGTGGATGGGTGGTGGTGTGGGATGGATGAGTGGGCGGATGGGTGGTGGTGTGGGATGGATGAGTGGGTGGACGGGTGGTGGTGTTGGATGGATGAGTGGATGGATGGATGAATGGACGGACAGACAGATGGGTGGGCAGATGATGGACGGATGGATGCATGGATGGATGGTTGACAGTTGATGGATAAGTGGATGGATGGGTGTACAGATGATGGGTGGGTGGATGACGGATGGGTGGACAGATGATGAATGGATGGATGTATGGTTGACATTGATGGTTGATGGATGGGTGGATGGATGGATGGATGACAGATGGATGGATGGATGGATGGAAGGAAGTCTAGGGAGAAGAGAAGAGCAGAGGGATGGCTGTGTGGGGCAGTGACAGATGTGCCGGGAGTTTTACTGGGCAGTGGGACCAGCCAGCTGGCGAGAGATGGGGCTGACTCTGCCGGAGTCTGTGAGTGGGTTTCTGCAGGGCTGAGATGTCAACCATGTCGCCTGCAGTCGGTGACCCCGAGCGTTCATCCTGTCCCCCTCGGAGCACCCCTGCCCACGGGGCGGCAGCTGAGTAAACAGAGCAGAGCAGATGGGATGATCCTGCCGGGCCGGGGAGCCGACGGGGCGGTAACCCGAAGAGGGGGAGCTGTCAGCACAGGCTGGGCACCGGCTGATGGATGGCAGGGAGAAGCTTCCTGAGAAACTTCCAGGCTGTGTGGTTCCTCCCCAGGGGGGATGTCCGGTTCCCACTGCCCTGCTCGTAGAGTTGCTGGAGCTCTCCACCCTGTGGACCTCAGGGACGCTGCCAGGGACCTCAGGGATGCTCTGAGCCCCTCCTGGAGCACTGATGATGGCCAGAGAGACCCAATTCCTCAGCCCACCTCTGCAGCTCTGGTCCAGATTCGGCTCTCACCCTGTGACCACAGCAGGGCTTTTCCAGGAGCGGGGCAATGCTGGAGGAGAGGGGATTCGCAGTGGCCCCGGGGCGGGGGGTGCCACTGGGCTGACGGTGCCATGCCATGCCTTGCCATGCAATGCCATGCCATTCCAGACCCAGCCTTCGTCCACGTCCAGCTCATCCCTGACAGCAGCGAGAGGAACGACGACAAGCTCTACTTCTTCTTCCGAGAGAAGTCGGCCGATGCCCCGCTGAGTCTATTCCCGCATCGGGCGCATCTGCCTGGTAGGTGGAGCGGCGGGTGGGCAGGGGAGTGGGCAGGGGGGAGACAGGGCTGAGCGCGGGGATCTCTCTGTTGCAGAATGACGACGGGGGCCACTGCTGCCTCGTGAACAAGTGGAGCACCTTCCTGAAGGCCCGGCTCGTCTGCTCTGTGCCAGGACCCGATGGGATCGAAACACATTTTGACGAGCTCCGTGAGTGGCTGAGGAGGGGGACGGGGGCCTTCTCCATCCCTGCGGGCTTGGGGGGCACCCTGGGAAGGGCTGGGGACCCCCTTGCTGCCCACCTCTTACTCTCCCATGGGGAGCTGCTCTCCCCCCTGCCCTGCCGTCCCTGGGTGCGAAGGGGTCCCCGCT